TCTCTTTTTTTTCTATCTATCTATCTTTATATATATATATATATATATATACCGGGTGTAGCAGCAAAATTGTCCAAATCCTGTAACAGCGTAATTGTCCATCCCACAAAATATTTAATATCTAAAAAACCACTAAACTAATTAAATGTCATTGTCCAGGTTTTCAGATAAAACTTTTAGTGATCTTTCACTATTTGTCGTAAGAATGACTGAAAAAACTTTCAGTTATTCATCTAGAAATAGAAAAGGTCAAAATCATTTTGTATCAGCTCCACTATGTCTTCCCAACTGAGCAATGATGAGACGAAAAAGTCTCCTGTGCTATTTAAGCCAGTGCAGGAGGGGGCCGCATCCACATACTTTACAATAGCATCAGTTCTAAGTAACTATAACTATGTGCCGTGTCATTGAGGACGTGGGCGATCATGGCTTTCCGCAAATTTCTATACTTTTAACCCTTAACAATGCTTGTCTATTTAGCCCCCCCCTCCACCCCGTTCAACCTTCTAGTCATACAAAGTCGCCAGGTAATTAGCCCCAGTCCTCGATATGCCTTGTGAATGTCCTCCAATACCTTCTCAGTATTTGTCAAAGAAATTTTGGCAGTAGCTTTCTGATTCTGAGTATAAGTGTTCGGTTTTTTTTTTCTCATTTTCTTTAAGAATTCTTTTTTACTTACAAGTTCATGGAATGCTTAGCATCCTTCGATATAACTCCATTTCTGTTGCCTCCGTTTTTCGCTTCATCTTTGATGAGATTGTCCAGCATTCATTACCATAGAAAAGGGTCGATATTGCATAAGAGTTTAACACTAATTTGTTTCTGACGAAAATTTCCCGTTTCTTGACGCGCTTATAACTATTACACTATCCCTAAAATTGTGAATACATCCATTAAAAACAACCGCTTTATGGAAGCATATCAGAAAACGCCCGAATACTTTGTTTTGTTTTTTATGTTATATGTTGCGTTTGGAATAAATTAATAAAAACTGCCATTTATAAAGAGGTAGAAGAACGAATCGCATTTTAAATATTGTGTTGGAGCAGAATTTGGTAGGGATTTTTCAACACTTGGCGTTAGAACACGTGATTTCCTTTCACATGTAAATTAACTTTGTTATATATATATATATATAACTTTTTCTGAGTGTTTATATATATATATATATATATATATATAAACTTTTTCATATAGACAAATCAATTTACTCACTACAATGATGCAACTTCGGTGCATTCAGTTGCACCTCGATTGGTGAGAAGCAAAGTCTGTCGAGGTGCAACTAAATGCAACGAAACGAAGTCGCATCTTTGTCGTGAGTAAATTCTTTTTGTCTAGATGAAAAAATTATAATAAATAATTATTGCTCTACTATCAGTATTAAGTTCTTTTTTGAATTAATGCTGTGAACGTTAGAGTTTATATATTATTTTCGTTCTCACTACATTCATATATATATATATATATTTGAATATATGATTCCAAAACGCGTGTTGGAATCATATTTTTAAATAATTAATTATATTTATGCTCTACTTCTGTATCGAGCACTATTTTTAAAAATAATTTAAAAAAATACTAAAGAACTTTGGATTATTTACCTAACCAGTTCTTTCTTATTTTCTATACATTTATCACACACACACACATATATATATATATATATATATATATATATATATTATAAATTAATTGATTTAAAATGTTTTTTTTTTCGCTACACAGTTCCAACCATGTTTCAAAAATAGAAGCTAAAAACACTGAGCACTATATTGTAAAAATAAAATATCTATAAGAACACCGGATTTTATATCTTACTGTTCTTTCTTTTTTATTTATATATATATATATATATATATATATATATATATATATATATATATATTCCGATCGGGGACGTTTTATCGCGTCTTTTTTCATGATCCTTTCATCACCTATCCTGTCCGTTAGCCAGAAATATATCAAGATGTCAGTGGATGAAATCCCGAAGCTACATAGTAATAATAGCCGTTTCTCTGTAAGGTAACATTTAGTATTCATTAGCCAAACACCCAGTCCTGCTTTCGATTGAAATTTATAAAATCTCTCTTTTAAACCAATTGTTCAGGAAAATATTTTTTTTAAGTCCACTAACTGTTATTGTTCTTTCCAATATTGTTGAGGTTTCCTTCCTAAACTTTAGTTTGAAGTCTTGTGGAATATCAACATTTTTTATCATATCATTATTTTCTCTTCGAGTTATATGTGCTATCCATTGTAATTGTTGCTGATATTGGTAGTTCTCGATTGATGTGGTTTCCTTTATTTGGTACTGTTCTTTGTGAATCTATAACGACAGTCCACAATGTCCAAAGAAGTATGATCTTTTCCAAGACCTCGAAGCTTAACTCTCGTAAAGACTTTCTTCACCATTGATCTTAGGAAGTGGTTGTATACAGTTGACAGTTTAAATATGTCTGAACATGTTTTACGCTATTCTTTTTCCCTATACTTTATTTGTTATAACTGAACCATATGCCGAGGTATTTGAAATAATTTTTAAAAATGTCGTGCACCAAAATGTCTCATACGATTAAATAAATCGTTGTACAAATATCGAAACATTGTCTTTGAAAATAACTTACGAACTTTTGTTCCAATCAAACATTTTGTTAAGAATGTCTGAATAGTTAGGTTCCGATCTATCGATTGGTTTTTTGAATACAGCCGTTAAAGCTATTACTACTTCCTTAAAGGTATGAAAGGAAATGCTTGAATACTTGGATTTTCATCTTTCTCATTGCTTTCTAAATATATCCGTTGAAAGCTGAGGCTTCCTTGAAACAAAAAGCAGAATATCTGAATATTTATTTTCTTATAGGTATTTACTTGACCCCTCCCCCCATCCTTACTGAGTCAGTTTGTGACACAAGGTGTTTTCACTCGGGCCGCTGGTCTAAGCTGGTCATAGCTTGTCTAAGCTAGTCATAGCCCTGATACCACCAGCACAGGGACGGAGCCAAGTAAGTATATATATTTTCTTATATTCTGAATATTCAATACGTTAAAACGTGATGCTATTCCAAGATATAAAAACGCCCTAATGCCTACATTCAGTTACCAATCGCTTCAGAACAATATCAGTAAAAGGTAGCTTGATATATTTAGAAAAGATATTAGAATAATCCATAAGTTATACTGGGACTAAATGAATTTAGTTAATATACAAAAATAAAAAGGAGAGTAAAATGGAATGTTGTTTGACTCAAATTATTCAACCTATCGAGTCACGTGATTCTGAGAGAATGACGAATTCAACGCGGATTAATTATTAGCGGTCACGATGTTAGCAGCATTAAATACACAGATGACATGGTGTTGATAGCAGAAAGAGAAAGGAAACTACAGGAACTCCTACAGAAATTAGTAAAGGAAAGCGTGAAGAAAGGACTAAGCATCAACTGTAAGAAGACAGAATGCATGGTTGTCAGCAAAAAAAGAAAAGCCCAACATGCGATTTACAAATTGGAGGTACCAAACTCAGGCAAATACAAGCATTTAACAATACAGGAAATGATTTAGCGGTAAGTGGAAAGTACAACGCAGAAGTCTCATTGGAACAGCAAATTTTGCCATATCAAATCATTATATAATCGATTCTCGTACAATCACTGGTGTTTCAATGAGATATGGCCATAAAACCCATTACACTACCCGTACATCCAAGTTTACAGCACCTGGTATTCAGTCAGAAGCAGTCTCTCATCTAGGTACTAATCAGGCTTGACCCTCCTTAACTAACCCGATGTTTCAACCTGATAAGGCCGTAAGCGGATTACACCACATCCAAGTTTACATATCAGAAAAATAAGTTGAAAGTTGACCGCTTGCTTGCGTTTGCCAACGTTTATTAGGACGATAATACTCGAAACAAACAAATAAAGCGGGGGGTAGGACAATTTTGTAGTCTATTATCGAGAAATTTCTCCCGTTCGGGAACAAGCGACAACAAGTCCGGTATGAAGGTTAACATTCAATGTAAATCAGAAAACGAAGGTAACAGACGACAACTTTCGAAGTTCATCAAAATTAGAAAGACAGACTTTATTTACAATAAAAACCAGAAAAAAAAAATAAAACATAAAAATTACACTAATTAGAGCTACGAAAATTTTCACAGCCATTTAACAAGAAATATATAAAAAGGTGATTTTTGTACTTACATCACAAGCAGTGGAAAAGAAAAGAGAAGGGTAACTCAGTTATTTTTTAGCTTAACTGTTAAAATTTTTATAACAGTTTCAAACGACCGCAGGGGTTTTAAAAACGGATTTTAAATTTGATTTGATCCTTTAAAATTATCGGAAAACTCTGCTGGAGATATAAAAAGCAATTTTAGGCTTATAGTGGTTGTTCATGAAAGGACCACAATTTGGCTTTCTGTCGAAGCTGAGTTGCAATGACGACGTCTTCCCACTCCCTTTTGTGACGTATCAGTGAGCTGAAGGAGGAAGGAATGATGACGTCGCTCCCATTCTGCCTATTAGACACGCTTCAAAAGAGCATCCAGCCGAAAACAGCTAGATAGGCGTGAATTCGCTCCTTTTAAACATCTTTAAGGCGTGGGTAAATTCAAACAAGTCACGAAAAGATCAAACCAAGTAAACTAATAAGTTATTCTCTCTTTCTTTTCTCCCGCCAAATAAACTTTTTTAAAAAACGGAAATTAAAACGTCTGCTAAAAAATAAAAATCTAGGAATTAATACATCTGCTAAATGTTGATACTTGCATATATTATGTTTTAATTTTAAAATAAAAAACAGTGTATCAATAACATATATGTACATATGACAAAATGTTTAATTTTAATTTCCAACATACTGCAATTGGTATTTTCAAGTGGTCACCCATTTAGGTACAAACCAGGTTTGAAGTGGCTTAACTTCGACGACCGTATGAGAACAGTTGTTTCAAGATATCATGGCGGTACGCTCATTACACCACCCGCATATCCCAGCTTACATCACCCGGTATTCCCAAGCAGTCACCCATCTAGCTACTGACAAGGCTTGACGTTGCTTAACTTCGCTAATCGTATGAGAAACGTTGTTTCAATGTCGTATAGCCCTAAGCCCATTGCAACACTGGCACATGCATTCTTACAGCAACGGTTATTCCCGAATGGCCATTGACCAGACTCGATGTTGCCTAATTTCGGTAATCTTACAAAAACCGATGTTTCAGCGAGATATTTAGAATGCTAATATTGTATAATAAATTTAAAGATCTTACAGCGCCAAGACCTGTAAGAAAATCTCAGCCTGCACTTTTCATAGAAATCAAACTTAAAACGCCTCTTTAATTAGCATCAATTCTTATTCAACCCTCAGTATAGATTCCTTTCCAACCACATTTCTTTCGAGAAGCAATAACAGTCTCAGGAGAATCCTAAACCAAATCCATAGCTTTTTCACTCCTGCTGGGGGAACCCGTCTCCGGCTGACCATGTCTTCAGGGGTGTATCCCCCACTCACTACGCTTGGTCATCTGCGCGTTAAAGTGCGTTGTACTTCTCCTAGTCTGTCATAGCTGACAGGAGAAGGAACGGATGCATACCTTTCGAAAGTATATATTTTTAAACCATTTCACCCCAAGCAAAGCTACTAAGATGCAAGGGGTTACTAGTGTTAGAGAGTATGAGAAAAAAAATGAAAAATACTATTAAGCAGAGAGAATACAAAAAGAACAACAATTAAGAAACCAGAAGATAACGATTGACACTACATTTAAATTTTTGAAGACCAAAGTTGACTGGGAAGCCAGAAGCCGGAAGACAGGCGAGAAGTGCGACGGTTGCATCTAGCAATTTCAACTGTAAACTTATGGGACCTTACCACCAATCTTGGTGAGATGCCAGGTCAGGAGCAATAGCTGTGCAGATTCTTCTTCGAATTTTATCAAGAATCTCTAAATATATAGCAGGAGCACCAGACCAGATGTGGTAGCAATATTCAATGCGTGCATGAATAGTTGACTTATAAATATGTAAAAGAGATTCTAGCGATAAAAATTGTCTCGCACGACACAGTGAACCAACTTCCTTACCTGCAGTCTTATCGGTTAGTTAAATATACTCTCTCCACTTTATGTGAGCTGAAAACATTAGTTCAAGATGCAAAAAGATCTAGAATTGTGGCCATTCCCGATAACTTTCATTTCACGATTTGATAAGAAAGACTGAATCATTTTAAAAAATTCGTGCCGAAATTCTATAAACTTTCAACTTGCGAAGAAGTCAAGTATATCAAACCCCATCAAATGCCTTCGATATATCCAAAGCAACTGCCCGAGCTTTGCTATTCTTAGTTAAACCTTGATAGACTAATTCAGCACATTAGAAGTTGACCTAGAGAAGTGAAAGCCATATTGTTTATTATGCAGAAGACGCTGCAATGTGAGATGCTTAATCAATTTAGAGTTAATTAGAGCCTCTAGAAATTTGTCAAGAAGATGTAGAAGGCGATAGTTAGGATGGTCATGAAAAGTGGTGGAAATGATATTCTGACATGTTGAAAAAAAGTGCATTGAGTAGAAATTTGGAGAACCACTCAGACGATGTTAAGAATATTTTGTTTAAGTTCATTCTATTCAAAACGGAAAATTTGATGGGCATAATTTTCTTTATTGATTCTAACATTGAATATAAAAGATATTTGGTTGGATTGATATGAGTTTGTGACCTTGGGTTTCACGTTTTTGCGATTAATTTTAAAAAAATTTTGGGTTTATGTAGATTGCCTGTATTGGTGTTATTATGGGAGTGGGGGCGGAATCTGCGTCGTGATGTCACTCATGCTAACGCAAACACAGATGCATGTCCGTACACCCGATGAGGTACGCAGACACACATACACACTTGCTCGTCCTCCGGGGCTCATGCAGATATAAACATATGTGGACAGTATGAGATTTGACATATGTATGTATATGGGTGGTGTTGTGTTTATACATACGCATTTGTATGTTGAAATTCAAAGATCGGAAGTGTAGCGAAAATTTCTCGTGAATATAAAAGATAAAAATGCAATTCAACCGGAAGAAAAAAAATGTCTGTTTAACTTATGAATATGGTAATAGGAATAGTCGAGTATCTCAAAGATATTTTATTCGCTTTGATGTCTATCTTCCACATAAATCAAATGATAAAAAATGAAACTATACTAGATTGTATTTAAACGTTATATTTTTTTAAACGAATTTTGTTTGGTGATGATATTTTCCCAGTGACCCAGCGATTAAACTCGCAGCTCTGTTTGATTTAAACTGTTTTAACTCACGTTTTGATCCACGCGTTCAATTCTCTTGGTGCAGTTGTGTGTCCAATATCTGTGTCTGTTAATGTTGAAAAGTCACATTCTGTGGTTCAATGGAGAAACGGAACACAAGACTGGTGGCTTTTGATATGAAATATTTCCTAAGCATGGAAAGTGAAATGTGAACAATCTGCCCCCGTGTATTGAATAAAGTTTTTAGTCCGAATTTCCGAAGATAGTCATTTGAATGAGGTCAGAGGAAACAATGGCTGAAAAATTGTCGGTCCGAATATCAAAGTGTACTCTAATAATAATTTCTTGTCTAAAATTCCCGGCAAAAACTATCGATTTTTTAAGTCGGTTTTATTAAACTGCTTGAAGAAATCTTTCGATGTTGCATAATATAATAAAAATATTCTTGTGAGGCTAGAATTAGATAAGTTGCATTGTTGATGCCGTTCGCTGAAACGGAATTTTAGATCAAAAAACATTTTGGAATATGGCCTCTTGTTTCACTTTTAACTTTTGTTTTTAAACAGTCCAGTACCTTTTTCATGGTATGAAGAGTGAAGCAATGTATTATTTTTGTAATAATCATTTCACATAAAGCAAGATGATAAAACCACTAAGATCTAATGGATTACTGAGTGCGAAGGAAACTGAGAAAATTTTGCTGAGGAGAAAGAAGCATAAAAAGAACAGGATTCAGGGAAACAGATGATGTTGCATTTAAAATGTTGTGTTTGACAGGAAGGAGGACACCGGAAGAAAGTAAGATAACCGTATTTATATAAAAAGATCTAGAAGAATAGCCGTTCAACAAAGTAACAAAGAAAACAGTTCTGATCTGCTACGGGATATCTGTCCTCCTTTACGGCAGCGAATGCTGGATGATCTCCTCAAAGATGAAGAGGAAACACGATGCTACAGAGATATGGTTCTATAGAAGGATGCTGAGGATACCATGAACTGACCTGTAAGCAACGATGAGGTTTTGGAGAGGATGCAAAGAGGAAACATATAATTAACATTAGAAAGAGGCAGCTGAAATTTCTGTGGCACATACTGAGGAAGGAGGGCCTAAAAAATCTGATACTCACAGGGCGGATAGAGGAAAAGACTGAAAAGGGAAAACAAAACGTGGCATACCTAATGGGATTATGCAAATGGATGGGGGAAATAAAAAAGACAAAACTTATTGAAAGCTACAACGGACAGGAAGAAATGGAAAGCCATGATCACTAACTTTATAGTCTAAAGATTTCTTAGTTTGAAGCCTTGTCAATTATTATTGTTTTCTCCTAGTATTTATTTCATCTTATTTCTCTTGCTTTTATACCAAGTCGTAATAATCTAAAAATTTCAGCCTGAGGTGTAATGGATATCGTCTCGGAGTGAATTCCAGTCAAATTCGTTAGACTCTCCTTTACACAAATACCCTTGGGGAAGGTATGAATCCATCTCTTCTCCCCCAGCTATGGAATAAATATCAGCGCAGACTGGGTTCTTTAGCCTTGGTTGGCAACCAGTCTGCCGCAGCCTTGGTTCTACTTTAGAAAGAAATGACAACCTACTACGAGAAAAAATCTGACTCATCAGTCATATATCGTTAGATCGCTTAAGCGTGTATCACGTATGACACTGACTGATACATAGTCGTAAGTGGCCTGACTTTCTTTCATAGTATTTAATTTGCTTTTAGCTTGTCGTTTTCAGATCGCCATTAAGCAGAATTGGCATTAAAAGACAAGACTTTTGTGTGATTCGAACACGTAACTCCCATTCTCCATAGGCCTATTTATATGCGGTTGCTAGATATCTCTCTTACTTTTGTACACTCAATTTGACTTTTTTCTATATATTTTTTTTCCAAAAATAATAGTTATATATGCCCGCTTCGCCCACTCGCTATCGCTTCGCAATATAAGATATATTCACAACTTGAAATCTTTGAAACAAAAATTTTATATGAACATTTATTTCATAAATAGGCTTGTTATAGTTAAGGAAAGTTTTCCAAATAGATGCCAACTTGTCAAAGGCCAAGTAAAATGCAAATTTCAAACACTTTTCTGCACTATATAAGACAGTATTCCTAAATAATTAATTTTGATATGAAAATCAAAACAATCCTTAAATAAAAGAACACTAATGAAGGACAATTAATTAATGAAATATATTTTTTTTAAATCAATATGCAAATTAGTTAAACCTGAAAAGTGATATCACCTAGAAGTAGATAATATATAATACAGATATTGTGCCTTTGGCGCATAAATTACTATATAGTAGAATTGGTACTTTTTTTAACCCCAGAATTCTTTGCATAGTTGTGCTTAAACATTAATTCGATACTTAAATGCAGTGATTAATGTTGAGTTCTTCTGTAATTTATTGTTGCCTATCATATCTACTCCTTGCTAGTAATTCTGATGATGGCCAACAAAGAGTCCTTCACAGGAGCTAGCTTGAATTCCATTGGGTAAGGCGCCATTTAAGCTAGTTTATAATAAAACGTGCACTGCAATTTTGGATACAAAAGTTACTCCTCTTAAACCATGAAATCAACGATAATGGCTAGTATAATATATATATATATATATATATATATATATATATATATATAACCTCGCATAATCTATCAAACCTGAATCTAAGCTCAACGAAAATGGTTCCCTGTGCCTAACTTTTCTAGGGCTTTTGAATGTTTTTATTAGAGTCATTGCCTCCTTCAATTACTATTTTTTTTTATTTGGGTGATGTCGTCATTGCTGTTTAAATCACCTGAAGATGCATTGTTACACTACCAATTGG